TCTTTTTTGGCCCATTTTTCCAGAGGAGAACATTCTGCCTAATAATTATGCACACCTTGATATAGGCTGTTGACCTCCTTAGGCCACACCCTCCCTCGTTACACTAAAACACATCACCTGATATGCATTAAGTCCAATAAGCGTTCAAGTTTATACTGCTTGGAGTTGGAAATTATGGATAAAATGATGATATGGTCAAAATACTCACTTGTCTAATAATTGTGCACACAGTGTATGATTTTTAGAAGTGAATGTAAATTTTTTTTGGCATGACCTCAGAATTGTGAATTTGCTAAAATTGTTCAAAATTTGTTTTTGCATGAGTTGTGACATGCATCTTGAGTTGAGTTTGGCCTGTGGTTGATTGTGGCTCCCTTTTTCAGTGAGTAGAAACACCACTTTTTTTTGGAGCAAGATGGCGCTCCTCAGTGTGCGACGTCACAGTTCACTCAGTCAGGTTGTTTCTCTTTTGTCTCTTTTTTTGCTTATTTGTGCCGTGTTAAAGCAACAGTTAAGAACGCAAGCTTTATTTATGACCAGGCGACTTTTACTGCTAAGAGAGCGCAGTCTTTTTGGAGATTCTGACCCCGAGCACGTTGGACTCATATCCAGAGCTAATATGCTCTCAACACGACGCCAGGCTGACCCCCGGCAGAGAGCTCTTCCAATAACGAACCAAAGCAGGGGGGAGTCGAACGGAGGCTCCGGTGCTTGGTTAGCAGCGGCAGGCTAGCCCTCCCCGCTATACTGTTCGCAAATGTACAGTCTCTGAATGATAAATTGGATGAACTCCATGCTTGGATTACCTCGCAGAAGGACATACAGGATTCCCCCCCCTTCCCCCCCCACTTAAAACCCAGAATAACTGCACAGGCCAACCTGCAGGGCTGTCAACAGCAACAGACTGGACCATCTTCAAAGGGGTCACACATATGCAGAGACTGTGAGTGACTATGTCAGCTGGTGCACATGCATATGCACACCAGCTAGAACGGTGTGTGTTTTCAGGGGACCAAGTGGAGTACAGGGGACCAAGCGGAATACAGGACAGCCCAGTACGAGCTACAGAAGTCCATCAGAACTGCAAAGAGAGCATACTTTCAAAAACTGGAAAGCTACTATATGAATAACAACACATGCAGTATGTGGCAGGGAATCCAGGCAGTCACAAACTACAGGAACAAATCAACACAGCCCCCTAGGACACCACCCTCCCGGACAGCCTCAACAACTTCTATGCTAGGTTTGACAGGATGAACACAGACACCCCCTCAAAATCCCCCTGCAACCCGGGGGACACTGCTTTTCAGGTGACATGCACACACAGGTCCTGAAGGCCCTGAAACAGGTAAAGCCCCATAAGGCGGCTGGACCAGATGGTGTCCCTCCTAGAGTGTTGAGAGCCTGTGGGGGATCAACTACAGCCCCCTAGGACACCACCCTCCCGGACAGCCTCAACAACTTCTATGCTAGGTTTGACAGGATGAACACAGACACCCCCTCAAAATCCCCCTGCAACCCGGGGGACACTGCTTTTCAGGTGACATGCACACACAGGTCCTGAAGGCCCTGAAACAGGTAAAGCCCCATAAGGCGGCTGGACCAGATGGTGTCCCTCCTAGAGTGTTGAGAGCCTGTGGGGGATCAACTAGCTAGTGTGTATACAGACATCTTCAACCTGTCTTTAACCCAAGCAGTAGTTCCTCGCATTTTCGACAACAACAGTACGTACTGTATGCTAGGATGCTCTTCCTGGATTATAGTTCTGCATTCAACACCATTCCCAGGCAGGCTGATTGGGAACATGACAGACCTCGGTGTACCAACTCCCACCTGTAATTGGATTCTGGACTTCCTGACTGAAAGACCGCAGGTGATCAGAATGAATCAGAATCTGCTGAGCTCACAATCAGCACAGGCTCACCGCACGGCTGCTGTTTCAGCCCCAAACTCTTCACCCTGTACACCCACGACTGTGTCTTCAACCATGACAACACCATCATCATTAAATATTCTGATGACACCACCTGGGCCTCATCAAGGTGGGAGGATGAGTCAGGTCACTGAATACAGCTGCCACAGTGAAGAAAGCCCAGCAGCAGCTATACTTCATCAGAAC